CATCTTAAACATACAAATTTTTTTTTTTGCAGGCAATTAGATGGAGCCAAGTTTATGGATGTGGAGATAGCTGTACGAGTTCTTTACATGGTTGGAGAAGCGATGTCGGTAAGGGGCTTTTTTAGTTTGATCTGAAATACTATCTGTTTTGTAAATGTCAGTAAAATTGTAGAGAGGGTGAGGTACTGATGTACCAAATGTATGTAGACTACAGACAACCTTTATTGTAGCATGATAGTAATAAAAAGCTATGCAGCTTATGGGGTCTTAGACTACATGATGGGTGGTTATTCTTTTATCAACAGATGCAGCAATTGTACTCGGATGCCTCAAAGTTTTCAGCGCTTCAGCAAATGATGAGTTTGGTAGGTGATCGTTTTCTTCTGTTAGTGCACGGACTGGACAGACATAGATAGAATGAGCAACAGACAGGCTATATCCATGTTGATGGCTGTACTGAATAGAAAGACAAAGAAAGACAAACAGAAAGGTAGACTGGCAGGTTGGCTAGCTGTCTGACAACAACCTGAACAGACTGGCTGATGTAATGACCACCTTATCAAGTGATTAATTGACTGACTGACTGACCGACTGAATGACTGACTGAATGACTGACTGACAGACAGACAGATGGACAGACAGACAGACAGACTGACTAACAGACATACAGTACAGACAGACATACAGACAAACATACAGGCAGAAAGACTGACTGACTGACAAAAATATGGACAGACAGACCTACAGACAGACTGACTGACTGACAGAAATACAGACAGACAGACATACAGACAGACTAACAGACATACAGACAAACATAGACAGAAAGACTGACTGACTGACTGACAGAAATATGGACAGATGGACAGACAGACTGACTAACAGACATACAGTACAGACGGACAGACAGACAAACATACAGACAGAAAGACTGACTGACCGACAGAAATACAGACAGACAGACATACAGACAGAGAGATGGACAGACAGACTGACTAACAGACATACAGTACAGACAGACAAACATACAGAAAGACTGACTGACAGACTTACGGACAGACAGACATACAGACAGATGGACATATAGACAAACAGACAGATTGATTGACTGACTTATTACTTACTTAGAGTTTCTGAATGTTTGTGGTTGGCAACTGAATGATTGCCTGAGTGACTGACTGATTAACAAATAGACAGATTGATGAACAGACTGACAGACAGACAGACAGACAGACAGACAGACAGACAGACAGACGGCCTGGCCGACTGACTGGTTAAGGAACTGACTGGTTAACAACTAACCAGACCAACTGACAGCTAGACTAAGTGATTGACTAATTGGTTGACTGCCTGGCTGACTTTTAACTGTTCTGTAAGTTCACCAATTTACTACTTGGCTGCTGAACAAACAGAATCAAGAGGAGCAACTACATGTGGTTACAGCCTCTAATGGATTTGATGAGTATTTGACTTACTTATTGATTGATCATGTCTTCCAACAGTTGGTGACCAGTAATGTATCTTGCTACAACCACTCATCTGTGGCTCAAATGGTAAAATTTGTTTTTTAATTTGTCAACATTCTCTATCTTGATCAACAAGAATAAATTATTTTTAATCGTTTGATATGTTTTTCCTTTCCGTTTCAGTTCTTTGAGACAGTTGTCAGGTACGACAGATTTTTTAGCAGCCAGGGTCAACACATTCCCACAGTACTGGTAAGGGTTTTGGACCGAACTTGATTCTACAAAGTCATTTTCAAGTTTCCTTAAGTTTGTCAATCATTCAGAGAGATTTGGTGTCAAAACTGTTCCAGGATGTAGACGTACATAACCTTCTTGAGCAGTCAGATTCAAAAAATAACTTTACTTTGACTTATTGGTCGCTAGTCTCGATTTTTGCTGCTCTCTCGAGTCCAGTCTTTGTCTTTCCTCCCCGAGAAGAGTTTCTTTTCGGGGAGGAGCCCAGGCTCCAGTTCCTGTACAGCAACTGGTAGCCGAGCCTGAATGGTCACGTGAACTTTGTTCACGTTGATCAATGTTTGTTTCGTTGGTTTGGTTCAATGTTGCTCAAACAAAAAAAGCCTTTTTTAATTTTTTAGATATAAACTAGTGAGCAGCTTTTCTGCGAACAGTGGTTGTAAAACTTTTTCATTCTCCGACGCGTTTCGTCTAACTGTCGTAGACTTCTTCAGGGAGTTTTACAAGTATAACCAAACGCCTGTATTTATAAGCTAAAGTTAGTGGGGCCAATGACCATAGAGGCTTGGCCGGACTTACGAACAGGAACAGGCGAAGTTGTGAAAAATTTAAAACGTGTAAGGCAAGGTGGGAAAAATATTGTGGGGGCTACGGTTTTAGCTAACAATCCATAGATATACTTAGATATAGGCAGTTGTGGTTACAACTATCTGTCAAGGAGGCACTGCGGTTCAATGCTTTCTTCTCTGGTTGTCTGTTAGGCCTGGATTGCTTGTAATTGATGATTCATCAAGATGCTGTGATCTGGGCAACATATTTTTTTGCTGTATTAACCAGCGTCTAAAACTTTTGTGTCCTAGATTGCCTTCCTGGACGAGAGAGGACTCCGCAACCCAAACTGCACAGTCAGGAGCCGATGTTCCTATCTGTTCTCAAGGTTTATTAAATCTCACAAGTATGTTTCTGTGTGAAAATGTTCTTATAGTATTTGCTTGTTATCAGTGAAAGCTTTTTGCTGTAAAGATATTGAACTTATTTAGCTTTGCAGTCTGTTTCACAGGTCTTCTTATGTTGGTTTATTCAGCATTTGTTTGTACAGGCATATACCCTGGGAAATTACCGGTAGCCAAGTCCATTGCCATCATCTTGGTTTTTTTTTTTCTTTTTTTTTTCAATGCATCGCTAGCCATTCTCAGTCTTCAAGCATCCTTTCTTTTTTTTATTGTATTTTTGATTTAACCCTTTCACTCCCGAGATCTGATTGTGAATTCTCCCCTCAGATGCTACTCATTTCCTGGTAAATTACTTAGGAGCATTTGGTTTTAAATCAACATAACTTCTAGATGATAAGTTTGAGTATTCTCAATGCCTGTTTCGATATTATAGGAGACGTTGTGAGTAAATCACTTCTGGGATTTAAAGGGTTCAATTTCATCATTCCCTCCTAACATTTTGAGTGTTTTGCTGTGTACATTTACATAACTTTTCTTGCAATATCTGCAACAGACGTAGTCGCAAGTATTCACCGACTGTGTCATTTATCCTTGGTGAGGATAATCTCGTGATGGTTAACTCTCTTGCATTCATCTGCTTACTTATTTCAGGGCAAACATGCTGAACTATGCACATGACGTTTTAAAAAGACTGCAAGGACTTCTTGTCATATCCGCAGTGAGTATGAGCAACACTGTTTAATTGGTACCTTGTCATACTCCGTGTTGGGGATGTCATGACCTTGTGGTCAGCGCTGGACTCTGGTCGAAAAGTGCGCGTTTGAGACTTGGTTGAGTGAATGTGTTGTGTTCTTGAGCAAAACTCTTAACTTTTAAGGTGCCTCTCTCCGCCCGGGAGTATAAAAAGTTACTGGCAAATTGTCAAGAAAATCTGATGAAATGCAGGGGGTAACCTTGTGATAGACTGCATCTTATCCAGGGAGAGGTAGTAGCCTGTGCACAGCCGCCCCATCCCCTCGAAAAATCGGGGAGGGAGCGTCTGTGATTTACCGTTGCTAATCGCGTATGGGGACCACGTGATTTTTCCCGGAATGTGCGGAAAATGATCTCATTGGCTGTTACTCGTAAATCATTACATCATGTGAACCACGGGTTTTGATTGGCTATCAATTTCGCGGGGAATTTACTTCTGAAATGTGAAGCCTTCTCTCAAAGTACACATTGCTCTCACAGTAACATGTGCGTGAATTAGCGATGAGTTTGTGTGCTCTTGGTGGGAAAAAACATCGTTCAGAATTCAGATAAAAATCCCGTTGACGGACGGAAGAGCTCGCTCGAGTTTTAACGTCTGGAAAGAGTAGCTGTCGCTGGAGTGTAAAGTGTCTATAGATTCCGCTTACATTTGAAGAAATTGCCCGTCGACTTTAAAGAAACGAAGGGCTGTTCTGACGAATCTTTGTATTGTGAACTCTACGACTCGAAAGATTATCAGCACGAAATCCTCTTCTTCTTCCGTTTTCCTGTCACCCGTCAAAGCGAATCCTTGGGCGCTTTCCATTTGACCAAAATTTTCGAGATTTCCGTTCTGAAATCGAATGGAACGGCAAAAGTTCCGGGATAAGTTTTCGAAAATTTAGGAACACGTTTTGAGTGTGCCCTCTTGGATACGGTCGGACGCGTTCCATTCGGCCAGCGAAAATACCGACATTTTGAACCAGTGATGTATGTTGAATGGAAAGCGCCCCTACTCCTCGTTCAACCATCTCGTTTGAAGCGGTGAAATCACAATTATTTCACTACTGCCACGTGGACGCGAGAGCAGCTCATCGGCGACGATTGGGGCCTCCTTCGCAGACGTTCTTTGCGCTCGTCACGCAATCTTCCTCTCCCACGAACTTCGTGGGAGAAGAAGATTGCGTGACGAGCCCAAAGAACGTCTACGAAGGAGGCTACGACGATTGGGGCTGCATAAAAGATTGTCGGAAACAGGATAATTAGTATTGTAACGATTCAAAATTATCTACCGGAAATCGAGTGTCACGATCTGTCCGCTCCGATAAATCAGTTTGTTTATCTTTGTTGGGAAGAACTTTAAAGCCAATCAACTTACGTTTTGATCAAGGTGTGTTCATGAGAGAAGAAAACCAGTGTGGGTACCTTTTTGGTCGGTCAGAGACCTCGCCTAATATTGTTCTGTCTGCTTTTTGAAAATAAATTCTGGAAGAGAACAGTGATAGTGTGGGCCCCTCACTAATTCCCCACAAGATTAATGATTAATGATTTCCCGTATCCAGTGGGAAGACTTGCATACACGTCTTTTCCTTCAAAAAGGGCTTGGAGACATTTTTCGTGCTGGGTATAGTGAAGCAATTTCGAAAACGTCGCAAACGCTCCCAATTGCTCAATGAAAAGTAGTCACATTGACCGCCATTTTGAAAATCGGAATGAGTTGAGACGAACCACGTTAATTTTGGTCAGCGGAAACCAGTTTTTTAATTTATGCAAAGTTATTCCCATACACGATTAGCAACGGTAAATCACAGACGCTCCCTCCCCGATTTTTTCGAGGGGATGGAGCGGCTGTACACATGCTAAGAGGTAGCAATACTCCTGGTTGCTTTATGTTATGGAAACCAGGACAAGCTTTGGCTGGATGGGCCAGCCATTTGGGTCAAGCGGACAGTTAATCTACCTTCCTCGTACTCCATAACGTTTGATAACCCAAACTTTACACGTACATATTACAGGGTTTGTACAGATCCTGGAAAACCTGGAAAGTCCTGGAATTTTGTTACAATATTCTCCAGGACTGGAAAGTCCTGGAAAATGACTACAGATCTCTTGAAAGTCCTCGATATCTGCTTAACCCGAGCAGTAAAATTTGTAAAAACTTGGGTTTCTTATGGGAGAAGCAAAAGCTAAAGGCTAAGTTTATGTTCATCTCCACAGTTCATACGATCCAAGGTGTCTCTGTTCTCATTCTTTGTTGAAATTTTCCTCTCTTTTAAAGGAAAATGGTTACCAGCAGCTTCTATCTGCTGATGATCAGGTATTTATATCTTTTTTTAATGAAATCAATCCCCAGATGCAATTTGTCCTTTGGTAAAGGTATAGAATCCGATTCTACCAACGCGTCGGCCAACGTGTCGGCCGATAGTCGACCCACAGTCGGTCGTCTGTCGGCCGACTGTCGACCGAATGTCGACCAACGCGTTGGTCCCCGTTTATCCTTATAACGTACAAGATGCGTCGGTGGTGCGTTTAGTAATCAAAGTTTAATGTCTTTACGTGGGGCATGGTTACCCATAGTGCCCGAGCCAGAGGCTCGTGTATGAAACGCAAGACAACAACCCACCCATCCCACCCCAGGGGAGGACATCCATCACACAGTAATCTCGTGCGTGGGAAATTAACGTCTCCTACGTTACGGGACCTCCAATTATTCGTCCCTATCCGAGAAGACTAGAATATCTAAACCATTTCTTGTTGTTATAGAAAGGCGGCATATTCTTCTCAATTATTTTAAGACCTTGAGTGTTGGTCCGACCGGGGCTCGAACCCTCGACCTTCCGCACATCAGTCCAGCGCTCTATCCATTGAGCTAACCGGGAGGCGGTGACTTTGGTTGGGCCTTATGTATCTGAAGCAAAACTAAACCTTCCTTTTCAAATATTGAAATATTTCCACGAGTTGTTTTGACCCTTTCACTCTCGGAGTGACCAACATGGAATTTCTCCCTACAGTATAAATACATTTTTGACCAGATAGGTAATGAGAAGAAAGAAAAGTATCAGCGAGGAGATATTGCATAATGAAACGCCAAATTCTCAGAGCTAAAATTATAAGCAGTGTATGGTAGACAGGGAGGAGAATTGGTATCTAGATCTTAGGAGTGGGTCAACGGCAGTGGTTTGCATCTGCAATCTTTGATCGTAGATTTGATGTTTTCTTTATCGTTTGCAATTATTTTTCCTGTAGTTGTTCCTTTATGAGAGCGCAGGGATACTGATAGTCGCTAGTGGAGCAGTACCAGAGGTAAGAAATTTGGAAGAAACAGCTGGTAGCTAGGAATTCTTTAAACCTTTGGCGGGTAGAGTTTGGGGCGTTTTCTTTGCCCTGAACCCAAGCGTGAAGTTTTTCTTTTGGTCCTTGTTTTCCGCCTGATAGAGTTAGAACAGGATTAGGGTTAATAAGAATTGGCTCTAAAACTAGTTGCTGCTCAAGAAATGCGGTTAGCGTGTAATTTCTCCTTTCAATATCACCCTTTTAGTCAAATAAAGAAATGATCATCAACTAAAGAAGTTCTTGATTGTTAAACAAATTCTCCTTGTCAGCACCTTAGGAAATATATAGAGAGCAGTATGGAGAAAATGCACACTGATTTTAGGGTGTAAAGGGATAAGACAGAGAGCTTCCGATGGCCCTACGCAAATTTCCCCTTCACAAATGACAAAAAAAAGTATTTTACAAACAGTGACCGTTTTGAGAACGGAGACTACAAACATCTGTTTGATATCAAAATGTTTGACCCCATACCCATTTTTCGACTGAAAAAAGAAATCGTACCTATAGTCGTTCACTTTTGCGGCAACTCTCAGCTTTTTAAGTCATAAGTTGAAGAATATACGTAGAATTGCAGGGTAGCTACTGCACCGTTTAGTTGTTATCTAGGACTTCATAATTTGTCTTTATCCTTTCATTTTCAGAAGCAGCTGATGTATATGAAGGACTTACTGTCCCCGATCATCGAAAAGTTTGATTCAATTGTCACCAAGGTAACGATACTTTCACAATGAAACCCCTCTATGGCCACTCAATACATGGAAACAAAGATGCATCCGCGTTAAGTCAGAAAGTCAGTCGGAAATTATTAACTATTTGAACTAGAGTGCTTTTCGATTGGGTGTAATAAAGCTGGTCGGACGAAACACCCAAAATAAACTAAACTTGTATCAAGATCCTTCGGAACCGCTTTAAACATGAACTAATCTCGGTCCTTTGGAACGCTTCTTAACACAAACTAATCACGGGATCCACCGAAACGATTCTCCAAAACACTCTGCTACTGAACTATAACACTATACAATGACTACCGATTGCGGACAAGATTATTCGACACTGATTGTCACCATGTCGCATACGGTATGCGACAACAAAAAATTTGTAACATAATTTTCTTTGTTACAAATTCTCCTACTCCTTCCGCACAGGTTTTGTGATCAAAGCCTTCTCAACAGGAAACCAAAGTAATCACGAGGGGCAATCAGAGAGAAGGAAAATCACATAAAGAGCCAGTGAGAACCCAGAGTAAGAATAAACGCGGGAAAACGCAGGCGGCTAGCTCGTGATTCGTTTAAGTTTGCGTCTGATTGGCTAAAAGTATGGCGCGAGTTTTCTGGACCAATCGCAGAGCGAAGTAAAAGTAGAACCAATGCAATCCCGGATGTTCTTGACACTCGATTGGAAATTGCCATCATATAACTTTTTTAAATTATGGCTGTAAATCATTATTAATGTATTTATTTCATTTCAGCTCATGTCGGAGACTGACGATGCCTCTTCCTTGGTGTATGCCCAGCAGCTTTATCATCTGGTTGCCTATGCAAGGTAACTTGAGGGATTTAACGAGACTTTTTCCATTACATTTCTTATGTTCATGGACTTCATTGGATTGACGAACCAGAGCCGCCCAGAGATTTAACAAAATGCATGATTATGTGACGAATTTACCACTGGGTATCGAAAGCGTCCGAGATTGCTTTAGTTTTAGCAAACAAGGAGTGATTTGTTACAGCCTGTGAGACACGCAGTTTTGGTTTTTTTTTTTAGGACAAGCGGAAGAAACTTACGAGGAGAGCGCTATGGGAAGTTAGCGTGGGGGAGAGATGGGAGGGGAGGGAGAACAAAAAATGACCTACGGGCTCTTCTCTTTGCGCGTTCCTTGCCACTCATTCTGTCCTTGCGCTTAGCAATGTCCCACAGGAGAACGGTAATAAATGTCGCCTGTCCCTAAGGCTAGTTTTAGGATCCCCTCTCAACCTAGTCTGTAGAACAAGCATAATTTTGTTTTGCCCTTTTCAGTCGAACGGAGGCAAGCGCAAGGCGAGTGCAAAGTGCGAATCTTGTGCCCCCCCCCCCTCCGCCCCTCGCGTTTGCCTCCGTTCGCCTGAAAAACCCCAAAAAAGTACTGCATGTCCTGCGGGCTACTTCAACCAATCAGATGCCAAACAAAAACCGAACAGGACATCATCATTTTGCTGTACTCTTGACGGTTTTGCCTCTTCTTACTCCGAGTTCTCGATTTGCTCTTTGTAATAACTGCCTTTATTCTGCAGATCGGCCGTCCTTAGAATTATTATATCTTTGAGCCTGATTTTTAGGACACTCAGAAAGAAAACGATCTGATAAAGTTCTGCATTGTTTGATTTCAGTCGAGCCAGTAAAGCTTTCCCCAATCAGCAAGCCCTGAAAGCCAGTGGTTGTGCACCATGTTTCACAGAGGTAACGTTCACCCTTGCATCCTAACATCAGTATACATATTCTCCATACTACCCCAAATCCCAATCAGCAAGCCCTGAAAGCCAGTGGTTGTGCACCATGTTTCACAGAGGTAACGTTCACCCTTACATCCTAACATCAGTATACATATTCTCCATACTACCCCATATCCCAATCAGCAAGCCCTTAAAGCCAGTGGTTGTGCACCATGTTTCACAGAGGTAACGCTCACCCTTACATCCTAACATCAGTATACATATTCTCCATACTACCCCGTATCCCAATCAGCAAGCCCTTAAAGCCAGTGGTTGTGCACCATGTTTCACAGAGGTAATGTTCACCCTTACATTCTAACATCAGTATGCATATACTCCATACTACTCCATATCCCAACAATAACGTAGCTCCATTTTCTGCGTTTAAAAGCACAAACAACCCTCAATTCCTCTATTCGCTTCGACGAAGGGCTAAAGCTCGAAACGTCAGCTTTTATAATCGTAACGGTGGCCAATTTACCATTTCAACTTTGTTGATATATTCAAATTATTCTCCACACTGTTCTCTATACATTTTCTGAGGTACTGACAAGGAGAATTTGTTTAACAATCAGGAGCTTAGTTGACGATCATTTCCTTTATTCTGGTGACCCTAATGTTTGATTCAGGAGTGATATTGTTAAGGAGAAATTAGATGCTGGTGCTGGAGTTTAAGGGTAAAAGATAAATACGTCTACCCATTCTTGTGTATCACAAAAAATCCTAAAAGTGCAGGAGCTGTAAGTGCTCTGAAAAAAAAAAAAAAAAACTACTAAAAGTGCAGGGCCCGGTTGTTCAAAAGAGAGTTAAGTCTAAACCCAGGGTTAAATCGGCCTAATCCTGGGTTAAATTTTAAGCGGAGGTTAGTTGCGTTGTTCAACGGAAGGTTAACACTAACCTCGGGTTAAACGATGGGTTAAATTTAACCCACCGTGCGAGCAGGGTTAAATTGTTAAACTCCGGTTAAATCAGGAATAAAGACGGCGGACTTCTTGTTTTGCGATTTGTGCAGAAGGCGACGACGAGAAAGGAGGTTTAGAGCCGGAACTCAATGTGAAATCGACGATTTCACAGACGAAGAGCTGCGTGCTCGTTACCGCTTTCGACGAGAGTCTATTTTATTTATTGCCAATCTTGTTGCCGGTGATATCAGTCGCAACACTCGACGGAATCACGCCTTACCGCCTCTCCATCAAGTTTTAATTGCCCTCAGGTTTTACGCCAGTGGAAGTTTCCTACAAGTTATAGGCGACACCTTCGGTGTGGATAAGTTCACCGTTTCCAGAGTAATTACCGATGGTCCCGTGCTTTAATCGTGAAACAGCCCCGCTTTATCAAGTGACCTTCGACGAACGACACAATTAAAAACGAACTTTACCTTCGCGATTTTTTTTTTTCCACATTTCATTTTTTGTATCAGCGAAAGGTTTTCTTCGACTTTTTCCGTCAAAACGGCAATTTCTGAAGTGCTAAAATTTTGTTTACGAGCTTTGCGTGAGATAGTTGAGGAAGCCATTTTGCAGAGCTCGCAACTTGTTCACCATGGCAATATTGTACGAATAGTTTATTATGGGATGCTAACCGCGGGTTGAACGCCCTTAACCCGAGGTTAGTTAATCTGTCCTCTAACCGCGCTTCGAACAACGCAATTTTAACAGCGAGTTAACAAACTCACGGTTAGGAAATTTAACCTCCGGTTAGGCCTAACCAGAGGTTAGTTTAACCTGTCTTTTGAACAACGGGCCTAAGAGCTGTAAGTGCTCTAAAAATAAAAACAAAACAAAAACAAAACTGCACGCTTTTCATCAGGATAGACTGTTGCGGAGCTATTAAAATTTGCATTTGTACTTTCACTCTTCAGGCTTTGCCGATTTTCCTCAGAGCACTTCACATACCCATCCATCGAGACACCATCCACTCTGGGGTGCGGCAGTACCTGCACAGGATGATTGTATGCCTGGGTGAGGAAGTACTACCCTTCATCCCTGTTGCAGTTTCGCATCTACTGGAAGGTTGCACGGTAAGTACCAACCGAGGGGTGACGAAGTAACAGATGAACAAAGCAGAGTTTAGAAGAGAAAGGTTATATTATATTATATTCCCCCCAGTGGAAAGCTAGTCTATCGCAGGTTCTCCTCCATATTTTATTTTCCTAGAAGCTCGATGATGCACTATGAGATGGATTGGTTTTGTGTGTAAAGTTTCAGCTTGTGCGATGTGCGCAATCACCTCAGTCAGGGCTTGGTGGCACCCTTTTCGATCCAGCTTGATAGACACCAGACCTCTGCATCGTTCTTCCCACAAAAGAACTGGACTCGCTCAGATGGTCACAGGCTGGGCTTGTACCAAAAATCAGACTGCATTTAATATTTGAAACACTCATAGAGAGACCAGCACTTCTCCCCCGAACAAAAGGGATTCAAAGGTTCTTCTTGTTTTCTTCCAGGCGCGGGACATTCAAGAATTCATTCCGCTTATCAATCAGATCATCAGCAGATTCAAGGTAAGTTTCTATATTGCCTTCTTATGCAGATTTGGAAATGATTCATCGGCCCTTCTTTATTGCTTTCGCGAAGTCTCGGCGAATAAACGTAAGAAGAAATCTCGAAGATACAGCTGAGTGAAGGGTTGACCAAGTTGGGTAAAGGGAATTGTACCCTTAGTAACATCATCTGTAGTTCTCTAAGGAAAGAACCGCTCCGTTTTGGACTCTTAAGTTTGGATTCTTCTCAGCGATCATATATTTTCCCATTAGTTTTTAGTTGTAAGAATTTGTAACGGAAGTTATCAGGTAGTGCGAGCTAAATTTGTTTTTTTTTTTTTTTTCGTTTCCTTCTAGACTCAAATTGGGCCTTTCCTGAGGGAAGTTTTTATGGCAATTGTAAACAGAATCTTCATAGTCCTTGGCAAACCAGCGGATGCAAAAGATGCACAGGTAATTGAGGCCCACTTAAACCTCTCAACCCTTATGGTCTTAAAGTAAATTCTCTCAATAGATAACCACATGTTTCTTTGTTTGCTAGTCTTGAGAACTAGCTGTCCTATCGGGACAATGTCCCCTAATTGGTAGTTTTCTTTACTCTCATCAGCAGTCTGCTTGCTAGTGCATTAAAATTGTAAGGAAAACTTTTGTACTTATCGCTCCTGAAGACCGAGGGTTAATATGGAGATGGAGAGGGTTGCCTTACCTACTTCGGCTGAAACAAGCTTAGAGATAACCCCACTCCCGCCAGAAATAGCGCCAGAGCCATAAATCATCTCTCCCTTAAGCTTGGGTTGTGTAATGTTTCCCTCTTTCGACGTCGAACCCAACTGGCTCTGTAATTTTCAATGAGCTCATCTTGATTTGTACCTAACGCATCTTGAGAACAAGGCGATAGTCTGTCACGAGCTTGGTAAAGGCGTGGGAATATGTTAGCGCGTTGCACATGCTGCCACAAGTTGCAAAAATGTTGAGACACCTTGAGGAAAAAGTGCATTTCCCTTCTTCATTAGATGGTCAAGCAGTAACTTAGTGCAAAAAAACCGAATGCTGCCTCCCCTTCCTCGATTCAATGTTGTTCATTGAAGTTTATAACATAACCAAAGTAAAGCGCGTGCTCTGATTGGTCAATTCAGCGTTTTTCCGCGCGTTTGTTTTTTCTGGTCACATAAGATTTGTTAAATAAAAGAAAACTCTTTCGCTACAATGTATCAATGTTATGTTATAAAACAAATGGTAAACGCCACAGTGTACACTATTGAGTTATGGATGCACTTGGGAGGTTTGCTAAGCACTCAAGAAGCTAGAGTCGCTCTCGGCTATCACCTCGAGCGACCCTTACGCCTCTTTCGTGCTTAGCAACCTCCCGCGTGCATCCCTAACTCAATAGTGTACGCTGAGGTGTTTACCATTTGTTAATTTGTACATGATGCCACTTAACTACCAACATGGCAAAGAGGGGAATGAGGTGATAATTAATGTGGGATCACATGGTGAACAATTACCTCTTGCGGTGGTAACGCGTCTTAACTCATGCTTCCACATTAGTACTTTCATTTCCTCTCGCAGACCTTTCTATCCCTTGCTAAACTAAGTACATTTTAAACACCCCAGCCTATTCGGCACTTCCGGTATTGTTGATTGTAATTTCTTGCAGGCAGTCAAGGAGAAGGAAACTCTGAGGCGTAGTTACTTCCTGTTTGTGGGTGCTGTGGTAACCAATGATGTAACAGGGGTCCTCACCTCTCAAAGTGAGTGGCCCGTTGTTATTCAACTCTCCATTTGTTTTGTTTTGGTTTTTTTTCCCTGCTCATTTCTCCTCCAGAGTGCGCTGAACTCCGGATTAAGACGTCTGTGCCCCAACTATGGCTTAGCCATTGTGCTGTGTCGTTTGGCGAGACACGAGACATTCTTATGGAGCCTCTACCCACCTGAGATTGTAAATAGGTATTGGCAATTGTCAGGGAACCTTGATGACGTTTTCTGGAGAACTACTAGCGCTGGACCACAATTCTATTGTGGAGGAGTAGTAAACACTGTATCCCCGTGTCGCTGATAGACCTTATCCTTTTATTGAAGATTTTACCGTAAATCCTCTTTTAAGCTTCCCCTTTTAATGAGCCCTCCCATCTTTTGAGCTTTCCCCCTCCCCAAAGTACCTGAAATAAATAAGCCCCCCCCCCCCGGGGGGGGCTTATTAGAGAATTTATGGTAACTTAAGGTTGCGTCAACTATCACTGGGCTGCTGTAGCGTGATGTGGTTATGGTTTAGTTACGTTTTTAATCTCTTATTTATGCCCCTGTTTAACCCTTTCACAGCCAAGATCTCATTAGTTCTTCTCCTTACTGTCTGCCGTACAATTCTTATCATGTTAGTTTGGAGAATTTGGTATTGGATCAAACAATAATCCCTTGATTTTCTTTTTTCTTTATTCTCATTACTAGCCTGCTTATTATTACATTGATATTGTACGGAGAAATTCTGTCTTGGTCACTTATGGGAGTTAAAAGGGTTAATCTCGCCAATAGGCCATTGCCACCAGGTTGTGGAAACTGAAATAAATCATTTGTAGATTTTTCAGTGGTTTTCATCCTTTTTTTTGTTTTCAAAATTTGCATTGTGCTATTTTCTTTGTTTCTCATCAGCTCCGCAAGATCTACACCAAGTGTTGTTGACCTTGATTCAAGGAGGAGTAGAGTTTCCAGACCCAGTGGTAAATACTTTTTTTGTGTGTGAATCTAAATCTAGAATTGAGAAAAATAACCAACGTCCCTTCTATTCTCTGCAAGAAAATCGAGAACGATGTTTGCATTAGTAATAGGATAGAAAGTTTGCCGTCCACACTGGAGAGCAGATAAATGCTTTTCCTTCACACTAAAACGATCCTTGATGATAGAAACACTTGAATTCCAGCATCCTTCAGTATGCAGGGGACTCGGTTCCAATCCTTTTAACCCTTACACTCTCAAGATCTCATTAGTAATTCTCCTTACTGTCTGCCATATAATTCTTATGATGTTAGTTGGGAGAATTTGGTATTGGATCAAGTAATAATCCCCTAATTGATATTTTTCTTTATTCTCATCACTTGTCTGCTTGATATCGTATTAGTGTAGTGAAGAGAAATTCTGTCTTGGTCACCACTCATGAGAGTGAAAGAGTTGAGTTTGTGTGATTGTTCTTGATAGTCTCACAAAGTCGTGGGATCATTCTTTTTCTTTATTTGGTCGCCTTGTTTCCAAATTAAAGCTTAAATCCTCTCCTGAGGAAAAAAATAAAGTAATTTCTAAATATACGTCGCCCAACCCTCTTACCCCCTGCAATAATGGAAGACGTTCTTTAAATGATTATAGTCTTTCTGTGTTGTTTGCAGGCGCAAAAGATTTCTTTCAACATTCTTCGTAAACTGGTTGAACTCTGGGGTAAGGATTATACTTTCGTTTTCTAATGGTGAGTATTATTTGTTGATGAATCACTATTAAAATTGTTTCTCGTCCACTCCTCGTAGGTGGCAGCAATGGATTGAATGGTTTCAGAGAGTTCATCTACGAAAGTATTGTACCTGCGTCGTTTATGGCTCCTATGAAGTCGAACTTTGACATGAATGACGCACAGACTATTTTGGTATGTAACGATCAGACTCCCTCGTCTTATTTTTCAGTGCCCTGAGAGAGCGTTGTAACTTGCCTTTCCTCTATGATAGTATATAAAGCCCTTTTCGATTGACTGTCGGAAAACCAAAACCAAAGTAATCACAACAACCAATCAGAAGAAGAGAAAATACCTTTAAGAGCCAATGAGAACTCAAAGTAAAAACAACCAAACTGCTAAAAGCGCGGGAAAACGCGGGCAGCCAAGTCGTGATAGGTTTTTAGATTTGCATTTGATTGATTGGGAGAGTGGCGCGAGTTTTCTGGACCAATCACAGAGTAAAGCGAAAATGAGGCAATTCCGGATGTCGTTCGAGACTCAATTTAAACTTGCTCTATCCCGTTGGGTCTAGGATCTATAGCCACTCTCAAATCTCTCAAGTCATTGTTAATAGTTTCGTTTATGTAGCTATCGTGTCAGAGTGGTATTCGTTTGAGCTTCGTTCAAACAAAACCAAAACTACTTCTGACTGCTAATCAGGTTAACATTTCTGCTCATGATCGTTTTTCGTTCCAACAGGCTTTGCAGGAAATTGCTCTTACGCAGAAAATGATTCTGCAGAAACAGGTAGGGCGTTTAGCAGCAAGTTGATATAGCCAGTGATTCTCATTTTTAGCTGCAAGGCATCTCTATGTGAATTTGTTGGGAGAATGTATTGTTATATTAAGATTAAATCCCAAGATTATAACTTAATTCTCATTACCAATAGACTGACGTGGGAGACACGGTGACCCAGTGGTCAGTGCATTGGACTCAGGATCGAGAGGTCTGGGTTCGAGGGCTGGTCGGATCAATGTGCTGTGCTCTTGAACCAAACACTTTCTCTCACTGTCCCCCTGTGCGCCCCGGGCCAAGTTGTTCGAAGATCGATTAGCGCTAACCCAGGGTTAAATTTCAATCCAGGTCTCTATATTTCTCTGTTCAAAAGCCGTTTTTGGATAATTTTCCCTATTGTTTTAGAGCATTCAATCATAAAATCGTAGAAAAAAAGCTTTCAGATCTGAAATCGAGTTGAACACTAATCGTGGGTTATCTTAACCCAGCTTTGAACAACCCGGCTCAGGAGTATAACTAGGTACTGGCGAATTGTCAGGGAACCCTGATAAAATGCTGGGGTGGGGGTGGGGGTGTAACCTAGCAATGGACCATCATCCCATCCAGGGGGGAGTGGTAATATACCTAATTACTTCATGCTAAGGAAACCAGTCTAGGCTCCGGCCAGGGCCAGGGGCGGGGATGGGGTGTATTTGGCTTGAGTACAGCATTTTTTTTTTGCTTACCTTTTAGCTGGGTGATGTACAGAAACTTAAGGAGAATTTGTGTATTAATTGCTGGAGAGAATACTCCTGCACTGATATCCTATCCTCTTATTTGATGCCCGCAGGGAGTGGAGTTTATAGAATTCCTACAGAGCAAATACCTTCCAACACTACAGATAGCACCAGGACTTATTCAGGTAGGCACCAGCTTACCGTGTATGGTGGATCCATCAACTCTCTTTGTTGGGTTTTCTTCGTTTGTTTTCCAGGTCGAAATTAGAATTTGGAGGGTTGGTTTTGTGTGGTGGGYGGGGGGGGGGGGAAGGGGAGAAAAACCTTCGGAACAATATCAAATCGCACCGGAACGCTTTCATCATTGTGCCATCCCTGCCTCCTGGGCAATATCCCTAGACTTACCCCCGGAAATAACCTCCCAGACACTTCCTCTGGACATTACTCACGGACGTTACCCTTCAGACATAATTCTCTGGGTGTCACTCTCGAACGCTACGTCCGCACATTTCATATATCTTATTAACCAAGCGCGAGGGCCATACTGAGAGAATATCGGCCCGAGGTCCGTACAAAAAAGACCTCGGGCCGATATTCTTCCAGTACGGTCCCGAGCAAGCTTGGTTAATAAGAGATTTATTATACGACTGAAGTTCAAAGGGACACAAGTGCGGTATCATTCTGGACCATTCGGGACAGTGCCCGGTCCAATATTGAGAGAATATTGACCGGCAATAGAGCATTTTGATTGGTTGATTTTAGTTATTGGCACTCTGACTGCCCGAGTCGTGTAATAATTTTTCCTATTGACATTCCCCCCGAACATTCTTCCCTGGACATTTCCCCCAGACATTCCCCTCTGAATTCAGAAGTTGAACTTCTTTCTGGTGGATAAAGTTAATTTTGGTTTTTTTTTTCTTTTTTTCTTTCCCCACTGTCTCTGCAGGAGTATATAAGCGCCTTACAGCACGCAGACATCAAAACCTTTAAGAACTATATAAAGGTGACGTGTAGATGATATGTTTGTGTTATTCATTTACCCCATTTGCATATGAATTCTGATTCCTCAGTGTTAAATAAGTTCAAGTTATTTTTCTACACCTAAATGGCTCTTTACCCTGCTTTCCGTCACGCAACACCCGTCACGGAAACATTTTTTTAGGGTTGCGTGACGAGCTGAATGGGGGCAGCGCTGAGGGATAGAGTCCACCTTCTCTTATTCTTGCAATTTATCTTCTACAAAGTTATTCTTTAACGATAAATTGATTTCTTTATTTTCTCTGAATTAAACATTTACGGTAACTAATAGGGGATGCTCTCTGTGCTTTTCGTGATTTATGTTGTCAACAATTCTCTTTTCTACTTTTTTCTAATTGTTTTTCAGGCTTTTTTCACTAACCTTCGTTCTTGACCAAGGCTTAGCCCCTTCAGCATACGACGAAGGGAACGAATATTGTTTTATAATAATTTAATTTTGTGTAGTGACAGAGTGTTGGTTGTAAAATCAGAGCATAGAGTTTAAATTTAATTTTATCATAAAGATGACACAGCGTTTCCGAATCAGGGAATAGAATGAAGTGTCAAACACAAAATTCTAAAGATCCAAAAGTTGAATGATGTTCACAATTTATCTTTTACAAGAAGTCCATATTTGCGCGAAGCCCAAAACTGTTCTTGAATGGGCATAAATGTTTAGAAATTTTCCAGCCTATACTTGACTACTTAATAAGCTCTTCTTTATTTTCCGGAGAGGTAGGATTTCGTAAACCTGCTCAAATTGAAAATCTTTTCTCGTGTAAATAGAAAATGTTACCAAATTTTCGACAAATTCTTCCAAAATGGTAATAAGGGCATAGAGTTTTGGTGGTGGGCTTTCCTGTAAAAGCGGCAGCAGTTTTGTCTAAAAGTAGTTAAAGAATCTTTATTTAAGGGTACCAAAATCAATCTCCTTGAAAAGGGGTGCAACAGATCCAATTTTACGTCTAGAAGGTAAAAAAAAAATCATTCTGCCAAGAAACAAACAAATTATATGTATCTTCAACAGTGCACTTTTCAGAAGAACGCACTAGTTGAGAAAGCCTAGGGCAGAGTGTCTCCATCGTGCTCAGTTCCAGTATCAAAATATCAATTCTCTGCATCGTCTGCCTTCCATTTGATATACGATTAGTTCTGAGAATTTGGTGGTGAATTAAGCAATATTCCGCAGTTGATGATTTTTCTTGCTTTCCACCATCTTTCTTCTCGAACTTGTTGAAATCGTAAGGCGGCGAAATCTCTCTTTGGGTCACCCCTGAAGGAATGAAAGGGTGAAATTTTGAATCTTAGTTAGGAAACCAGTCAGTACATATTTTTTTGTTTTGTTTTGTTTTGTTTTGCTCTTTTTTTTGTTTTTGTTTTTTTTTTGTTTTTTTTTTGTTTTTTTGTTTTTTTTTGTTTTGGATTCACTTGCAGGTCTCCAATCACCAAAAATATCCAGCAAAAAAATTCCCTTACTCACTAAAATGCAAATATTTTCACATTATTGCCCAAAGGCGGACAAGAAAAGTCCAATTCGGACTCAAAGTCGGCTTTCGCTTTAGCCGGGTTCTAAGTAATGTTAATTTTATTATTAAAAATTATTTGAAGACCTTGATATAAGGAGTTAGGGTACATTGTTGATAGAATCGCATCATGGAATAAAATCTCGCATTCTGATTGGTTAACAAAGCGAAGAGAGTTTGAAAACGAGGCTAAGTGATATTGTTTGGCATCTATGTGTATATAACAACTGTAAGTAATGTTGTTTTCTTTTTTTTCTTGTTTTTATTCAATTATGCGATTCAAGGAAAAGTCCATTACTTGACTCGTGAATTCCGCGTTAGATTGCACTTGAAAACCGATATCGCACTCATTGCTTCGCGGTTTTCGCGTGCAATTTACTGCGTAATTCCCTCGTCAAGTAATGAATTTTCCTATAGTATCCTACATGCATGTACAGAAAAAGAGAATTGCCACTCAAAACAACCCGAAGAAGTCAACCATATTTTTTTTCTTACGTTTTCTTGTTTTTCACTTTATTTTGTCAACAATGAATTTATTTACAAAGACTTGTATCTCAGGCAAAGCCAGATTTCTTTTTCTCACGCACTTTACAAGGATTAAACGGCGTTCGTGTTTAGACGCAAGATGAGGAACTCTGAATAAAGAGATAATAACCTTAGAAAACCGTCATGTCGTATGTAATTATCTGTCCATCTTTCCTAGAAATAAGTTGGGTAATTTTTCCGTACAGTCCCGTATTTTATTATGCATACAGCTCTTAGATAAGGAAAATAACGCCAAAAGGCCTTTGGGACTACCGCTTTTTTGTACAATAGTATGAGACTGTGTGGAAATCTTTCCTTGAGTTATTTGTGTCGCTTAAAGGGGGTTATACGATTCAGAAATGAAAATTCAGGCGTAAAAAAAAAAAAATATTGAAATGGGTTAACTGCTAAGGAAGTCATTGAGAAATTGGGATTTTTTCTTTGAAACCAAAATCCTAAGATCGGTTACCCATTGATTGTCTGTTCCGTACTAATCTATTGTAATTTCACATCACTTGGATCTCTTTCCTCTGTTTCCCCTAGGAGTGTTTTGGTTGATATTCCGGGAAAAAATCGACGGAAGGATCGAAACTGGAGACTTACCTTTTTACTAGGAATAATTATCTCATCATCGAGTTTTAATTTTCTTTTATATGTCGAAAAGGATTTAACAAGGATTGAATGTCCGAGTGTGTCGTTTTATTATCTAAAAAAGGCCTTGAGTGGGTAAGTTCGCTTTCAACTTCTATCCCTGTGGGAAGTAGATTAGTTATTCACTTAATACAAAGCTCAGATTATACTCGCGACCGTTAAACCCAATATGGGGAAACTATGGGGTTTTCAGAAATGAAACAGTCGCAAGATTGTAAATTAGCCATAAGCGGTGAGTGACGATCTGTACTTTGTCAACTTACTATTCTGAGAAAATTCAATTTCTCTACAAGTGTTTTTGATCATTTGGGATCGAAACATGGCTGAAATTTCCGTCGACATCCACAGAACAAGTTATAAAGGAGGCACGTTTCTAAATAAACGGTGGTGCTATGTCGGTGAAAGTAACAAGGTAATTTTGGTTTTATCGACTACGTTGATAATGTTAATTGACTAACGTAAAGAGTTTAAAAGCTGAGGTTTCGAGCGCTAGCCCTTAATATCGAAACGTCAGCTTTGAAACTCTTTACGGTGGCTAATTTACATTATCAACCCAGATGATAACACCATAACTACAGAACAAGACTGCCTAGGGTCTTAAGGATTTTGTACCAATTAAGTGGCTGCCAAAAGCGCTTTACCTTCATCTTTCGTAAACCTGTACAGACACCTTCATTGATCTGTTACCGATCTTCTTTCTTTCCAAGGAAATCAGTCATGCGTTACTTTCTTCCCCTCTTACTTGGGATCGTGCTACCTCGATTCAGTCATTCAACCTTTGCACACCTGAGGGTGACTAGAATCTTATTTCTCGTTGCAACATAACTGCCGAGTCAAATCTTTAAGGTCATTACAATACAGAAAAAGATGGTCAGCCTAAGAAGCTCTTCAGCGATCATTACAGAAATTCTCCTTGCCAGTGCCGTAGCAATGTACAGAGAACAGTATGAAGAACAAACATACTGAACAAGTGTTAAAGCTCACATGAGGCTCATTACTTTAATGTGTTCCAGTGTCATTTAGATGACCAACAATGACTGCTGATCACGCGCTGGGTCCCTCATAAGAATTTCTTACAGTATTCAATTCATGTCTTAAATAATCCTCGATCAACTTTGTATTTATTCACCCCATGCGTCATTTACCAAGGAATCTCCTTCCCGTCCCAACCGAAGAACTTCCCATTATCCTTCACTTCTAGTCCCTCGATCACTTTCATCAGACAGTTCACAGAAAACTCCGGAGTGAAGATCTTTGCGGGGTCAATATTTTTGTGGTATCGCCTGGACAAATCTGTGTTCACTGTTCCAGGATGTAAACACACACAAATGACTCGCTTTCTTCCAAGCTCGATACTGAGATTTTTAGTTGCCATATTGAGAGCAGATTTAGACATTCTGTAGCTGTACCAGCCGCCTAGAGCGTTGTCCGAGATCGATCCAACCCTTGCTGATATATTTACCAGAACTCCAGCTACAGCATTCTTATCTGCACTGTTTCTCTTCGTTAGCATTGGGCTAAAATGTTTCGCCATTATCAAGGGGCCTAACGCATTCGTTGCCAAAGTCGTCTGTAAACTTTGAAGATCGACTTCTCGCAGACTGGTTTCTCCTTTACCACTGGGATGTAGCATCCCAGCGCAGTTTACCAACAAATCGAGTTTCGTATCTCCAATGCTAACAGCCACTTCAGAGATTTGGTTTTCATCTAAGACATCGAGACGATGAATCGAGAGGAGGTCGCCATGTTCGGTTTTAAGTTGAGTCAGTGCTTGTCCTTTTAAAGGGTCTCTGCACGTTGCAATCACGGGTGTTTGTTTAGAAAGCAGATAACGGCACATTTGAAGACCAATACCGCGGCTAGCGCCTTGAATCAGAGCGCTTTTGATCATGTTTTCGACGTCGTTTTCACCTAAACATACAGAGAGGAAGTGGCGTTATGTAATCGGCCGTGACAGACGAGAGTGGTCTGGAACGAGCATTGCATGACATGACGGAAACCGAAACTGCACGCGGGAAACTTAAACGTAGCCAACGGTAATCGATCTGTTTATAACTCGGTAAAACCCTTCGTTTTACTTTCAGAGCATAGTTTCAGAAGTATACGAAGCACTAAGGAAGATAGTCGACTCTATAAGATTCTTAAAGCTGGCTGTTTTCTTTCAAGCGGCTTTGTAAGGTAGGTTTTAACTTCAGCCATTGTGTCAGCATGGTTTTCAGTACATTTTAAATATTGAGGTTCCAGTTCCATGTAGGTATCAGTAACGCGGAAATGTTATTCGTTTCACAAATTCAAATTTGGCTTTCCATTCTTTCATGCTGAATCACGGAATGTTGTCAGTCTTTTAAAACTAACATGCTCAGGGGTGCCCAAAGGCTTTTGAAAGAAAATACTACCAGTAAATACAGCAGACTAGATCATTTGGGGTTGGGTTGGGTGAACTCAGTCAGAACGGACTTCACTTTTTTTCCTAACTTTATTTAGGGAAGTGGGTGGCTTTATATATATATATATATATAAACTATATATATATATATAGTTTAACTCGCAGAAGTGATTAACATATAACTTCTCCCGACAAAATCCTTACAATATTCAGCAAACGAGTTATGAGAATACTCATTATCAAACACCAAACTCTTGTAACTAATTTCCTAAAAATGTGTAGCAGCCAGAGAAGGAGGATTAAACATCAGATCCCTGAAAGAAGTTAATTGGAGGGTTAAGAGTTGGGTGCAACATTTTCCTTTTATGCTTTAAAACAAATATATTTTAGTCAGTGGTAGACCACAGAGGACATCGAAATGTGGTAAGAATATCAGTGACACTCTTGGCTGTGCCTTTTGTGCCACTTTTTTGTACTTATCACATTTTGATGTCATCTGTTATCTCTTTCTGAAAAGACATTGTTAGATGATTATGTGACCCTTAACAGTTGTCACCTTTTGGACTACAGTTAAAACTGTATTGGGCGGTCACCCATGGGGAATGGTAGGATGACCATTTAATACAGGTTGACCGCTTAATACAGGTTGCCCAGCAAATAATTTAATTTGTGCATACTATTTGTCATAACGGTCCATAGAAGAAAGATATTCTCGGATGTAATATTATTTAGTCATATCAACTAAGCTGAAATTGTTAATTGGCCATTCTAAAGAGTTAAAAAGCTGACATTTCAAGCGTTAGCCCTTCATCAGAGCAAAGGATGAGGGGCTACTGCTCAAAATGCCAGCATTTTATCTCTTTATAATGGCCAATTTATAGTTTCAACCTAGTTGATATAACCAAATTACCTTGTTACCCCCATGGACACAGCACCACAGTTTCTTTTAATTAGAAACTTACCCCCTTTATTCATTTATTTACGATGTGTTGTGAATATTTGAACTCAAAGTGCTATCATTGATTTTGTAACAGTGAGATAAAAAAGCTAAATGATGAAGCCCAGCTTTTAAAAGAAATAGAAAGTGAGATAAAGACTGTTTGAGCAGCAGTGGCTAAGTGAATTTGTTTTACTGTGACAGCACTTTTTGGGTAATCATTCTAAAAGAGTGTAAAAGCCAATTTTAAAGTTTGGATAACAGTTGTTGGAATTTGAGCTCCAACCTTGATCTCAAGATCTGGCTTTTTCAGGCAGCAATAGTCATTATATATGTGGAGGTAGTTTCATATATTTTTGATAAAAACTGAAGGAAAATCTAAGCCTAGAACTTGAGTCCTATTTAGAAAATGAATGAAAATTGCAAGGTTTTTTAGAAAATGGCAAAAGATTTTGCCTTGACAAATGTTTTAAAAGCTGTATGTGAATCATATGAAGATAGAGAAAGAAAACTGTAGGGACCTTTTGTAAGTATATACTCTCTGTCTTTCTAAAAGAATTGTGTTATTGTTTTAGAAGAAATTGAAAAATCTACATTAATTGGAAATCCAAATGTACCAAAGTTTTGAATAAAAATTTTTTCAGTACCAATTTTCACCAATTTTCAAAAATGTTCCATAAAGTTATTGCTAGCTTTAGCAAAATTTTTCATGCATCTTCTAAGATCCTCTTTCTTTGAGTTACACAGCCAACTAATTACTTTATGGAACATTTGTTTTTTTTTTTTTTTTCAACTCCATAATTAGTTGTGCTGACTCATAAATGGAGGCCACTAAATGCAAGATCTAAGTGAAAATTAAGGGGTGTTTTTGACATTCATAACCAACGTGATCAAGCATAACTGCTTTCTAATTGGTTATTACTCAGAGTTTTGCTCTCTGATTGGTCCAGGATTATGCCATATCTTGCCACTGTCACCCAAATGGGGTACACAAGGTGATTGTAAAGCTGAAGCACTCAATTTGAACTCGGTGTTAAATCAACTTTTTGTAATCTCAATTAAGAGGAAGGAACATTAATTGCAATAGAATGCAGTCCTCTGAAAATATACTGCAACAATGATATTTCTCCTTAGGCTAAGGGAATGTTATTGGACATCTTTCAAATCACCACCGGGGGGATAATTCTTCAATAGTTTTACTGATTCATCAATTGAAAGGCACCCTAAGCTTTGCCCAATTAAGTTTGCGTTAAGATTAACTTAAACTTAATTCAGCTTATTGATGATAAATGTGACGTTGGCTAATCAGCATGAACTTGTGTGGGCACGCTGGCCCCAACGGAAGAAACACAAAGACGTGATAAATTCTAGAAATATTTTACGGTACTTAGGTCATCCTAACTTCGAAAAAAAATTGCTTGCGCATGTGAAAAGGTATTCAGACCTTGGACCTCTCCTTCGTGGTGTGATTTCACATATCGAGTTTTTTTCGTCACGCATTCTAGGCATAGTCGGGACTTAACGCACGGAACTTTGAAAATTGCGGAAAATAATTTTATTATGGCTCAGAAAAATTGCAGTATTCAGCAATTTTCAGGAGTCTTACTATGATTGCGTTGTTGCAGTTTCTTGACAAACAGTCACTTATTTCACCTCCTAAATTAGTTTAAAGTCACGCAAATGTCATTGATAAACTTGGCCAATGGGGAAAAACCCTACGTTGCTAAAAGTACGTGTTAGTTTAGATTAAGCTTTGATTCAGTCTATTGGGAGATAGTTATCTTTATATACGAATTTCCTTGGTTTTAAGACCAGTAAGGTAAAGAGGGACTTGACGCGAATCAATCCCGTTTTTTCTCGTCAAAGAAGTTTCGGTAAGTAAACCTCGAATATATTGCACGTGACAATTAACTAGTTTCGGACCCATTTAAGTTTCTGTCGTAAAGAACATCTCTTGCAATTTTGAAAAATTCAAGGTGGGTTTGAAAAACTTTATTTGTCTTAAAGCGGTGTATCTTTACCATAATTATACCGTAGTTATCAGGGTTTCCGCTTCAAAAGAGCTTTTGTTGCGATGTTTCGCTAAGTACTTACTGGGTGATCAAACATCAGAAAGATCTGATCACTGCAATGAAATGCGTAATGACACAAAAGACTGTATTGAAGTGAACTTTCTATAAGTGTCTATTTAATACGATATTTCCCGAGTTAGTAAGGTAAGAATTCGAGAAATGAGAATGCGAATGAATGCACAGGGGTTTCTTAGACGTGGCATTACACCACATTTCGCCACGTGCGATCGTTCTGGGAATATAACTACAATAACCTAATAAGTGAATATCTCAGTCTATCGTTCTGTAAAACACAACGGAATTTTGTGGGGACTTAAATCCAAATACTTTTCAACTTACCTTACAAACAAAAATGTCTTACTGCGGGTTAATCTTATAATAACCAAAGTATTAGGGGCATTGTGAGATACCAATTGTCACGTGACTGCGTGATTCTGAAAGTTGCTTGCGATCGACACATTAAGCTAGGTTCAATATCGTCGGTGATTTTTAAAAAGAGTTAGAAAGCGAAAACTATGATAAAGAAATGTTGGCATTTTGTAGATTTCTGATCCTGCTCTTTTATTTTATGAGGACCTCCTGTAACCTGGTCACAAGAAATTCACATTCTAAATCTTAACGATTTCTTAGAAATCTTTGAATACAGTAATTCCTAGAAACCAAACGCTCTGGACTTACCCGTATCTGCAGAGTCACACTGTCTAGCAGAGTATATCGAAAATAAAGATGTCTAGGTTTAAATGTATTTAATAAGGCCTTTTATTATTCAACTGTGCTTCGCACAGTACAAATAACGCCCAAGACGAGTACAAATATCACGCGATATTTGTACACCAGAAATATCCGCGAAATTCGCCCGCTCTGAAATGACAACTTTGTGTGTTGAATAATAAATCTCTTATAAGACGTTTTGTTGTGTAGTATTGCTGAGTATTTTTACTTGTTATTTCTATTTTGACTCGGCCTACGGGCTCGTCAAAATACGGCACAACTCGTAAAAATACTCAGCGATCTAATAAAGTGTCTAATAAGATATATGTATTTATTATACAACTGCTTTGTTGAGTACAAATAACGCGCGAGACGAGTACAAATATTACGCGATATTTGTACACCAGAAATATGCGCGAAATTCGCCCGCACTGCAATAACAATTTGGCGTGTTGGATAATTAATCTCTTATTAGACGTTTTGTTGTGTAGTATCGCTGAGTATTTTTAATCGTTGTTTGTGTTTTGACGTGCCCGTGGGGCGAGTCAAAATACAACCTCGTCTCCAGGGTCTCTCATCTTCCCGCCCCCTGGAGCGAGCAAAAAAAAATTCTTGACATCACCACTGCAAACAGGTTGAGAAGGGCAGGGATAAATTTCTCACCACGCTCCCTTCCGGCTAGATGATCACAGGCAAGCCAAGTTCGATGCATTTCAGTCATTTATTTAAGTGGAGTGAATACTTTTAGTTGTCTCTCCAAATTACACACAGGGGTCACAAATCAACAAAATGACAGAGTGGGTAAGTCAAGGAGTTTATTTTTTCAAACATTTCGGATAAAGATACGGCATAATCTAACCCCTGTACATAACAATTATTCGCCTCAGGTTCGGTGAATATCGTCGAATAATCCCTAAGACGAAGTCGAGAGGATTATTTGACAATATTCACCGAAACTGAGGCGAATAATTGTTTTAGCATAATTTCAGAGCTGAACAACAGAGAAATTTCTAAAATCATAACATTTTAGTAACATTTATTAACATTTTATTTTAACATTTTGTATAAAACGCGTAGAGCGGCTTATGTAGCGTCATATAAGGAACCGCTCGACCAATCAGATTGCTGGAAACTCTTTCCTCAGCTCTGAAATTGTACTAAATTCTCTCATAAATGTTGGGCTGCCTGTGGAGTTCCCAAAACAAAACCATTCGTGTGAGTTGGGGTGCCTGTGGAGTTCCAAAACAAAACATTCGAAGTTCGCTTTGAAGAGAGATATCAATAACAGCCATTACTTCTGTTTCCTTGATTTAAAGGCAGCTCAGTGGTGTGAAAAATATGGCAAAAAATTGAAGACGATGATAATACAGATATTATATGAAACATTTTCTGTGGCTACGAGTTATTTCCAACGGCAGTCAGTCTAATCCTTAAAAGTTTGATGTCGAACGTCTGCGTAACATAATTGCGCTATATTTCCGCTGCAGTGAGCAATATGGAGATACGAAGCAGTCAGAACTACCTTTGGAACACAAAGGATCGTTTGGGGGAAGGAGCTACAGGGGCAGTTTACAAAGCGAGGCATAAGGTAAGAAATGAGCTTTCCGTGAGTAAGTTTACTTCTTGACAGCTCTTGATTGCGTAGGAAGATTCAGCGAAGCTCCGAGAATTTAGAACTTTCTCTCTCCGATTAGAAAACTGGCGAAACGTTTGCAGTCAAAGTCTCCAATAATCTGGGCATGATGAGGCCCGTGGAGATAAGAAGAAGAGAGCTCGAGGTGCTTACCAAGCTGAATCATGAGAATATTGTGAAGTTATACACTAGTGAAACGGAGGTACGTTGATTCTTCGATCGTATTTTCTTTAACAAACTGAAACGCTTCACTTATCCTCAGCTTTGTAATATTATTGTTGAATAGCTTAAGAGGTAGAATTTATTGTGTTAACTCTTCGTGTTTGGGATGGAGTTATTCGACATCTGCAAAGAGGTTCTCTCCCCTCTCACACTTCTTTATCTTCACATTTAATGGAGCAAAGGTAATATTATGTCGCAGCTGTACGGGAAGACCGCATTCGCGATTATAATGATAAAACTTCCGTAGATCGAACGACATATATTTTGAATAATCAAAGGATTTCGCTTTTAAAAACGAAATAAGCGTGAAATTTATTCAAGAATGTTTGTCATTTTGTTGCTTAAAATTCCTTTTGGCTTATATTGTGATTATTTGAAAGCTATGTTTTGATAAAACTGCTCTTCCGTGGATACCCCTAAAAGGAGAAAAATCATAAACCGGGGAGCATAACACTCCTGTCTTGAGCCTCAAAGCCAACATTGCTTTATGCTATGACGTTAGGGGATTCCCCTTTATATCAAAATGGACCAATGATCATGGTTCAGTGGTTTTCCGAGAAAGAGTAGAAGCTTAAACCTATTGAGCAGGCAGACACTGGGGCTGTTTTTTAGGAAAACACAACTCTTTTGACAAAAAAAATACTCGCTTTCATTTGGGGGAAAATGCTGATGAAGCAATTAGGATGTCAATGTTTTAAAAGTCTGACTTTATAAGATCTGTTTACATTCATTTTTTGTCGGCATTTCCTTTTTTTTGTAACTAAGGAAGTCGAATGACCCCTGTGACACTTAAACTCAATACCTTATCGAGGAAAGGAAAAACAAAGATCAATAGAAATTGGCTTGGCTTTATTACTCAGCAATGTTTTGATTAATAGGAGTTACTAATACAATGTATATATGAAGTTCATATATTTTGAACTGCGGTATTAGATACATGTGATATACGATCCTCGCAGTAGATAATGCTATTTAAGCAATAGCGAAAATCAGACCTTGAAAACTTCAGGCCTGTACAGGATTCGAACCACTGACCTCTGCGATACCAGTGCAGCACTCTACCAATTGAGCTAACAAGCCAACTGGGAGCAGGCTGTTAAGTTGATTTGTAATAAACCCGTGATGATAAATCAAATACAATGTATATATGAAGTTCATATATTTTGAACTGCGGTACTAGGTACGTATGATGCATGATCCTGGCATTACGGGCTTATTAGGAATCAACTTAACGGCCTGCTCCCAGTTAGCTTGTTAGCTCAATTGGTAGAGCGCTGCAGTGGTATCCCAGAGGTCAGTGGTTCAAATCCCGTACAGGCCTGATTTTCGCTATTGCATAAATAGCGCTCTCTACTGCGAGGATCATGCATCATACGTAGGAGTTGCTAATGATAACTTTTTTCTTTGGTGGCTGAAAATGCATGGATTTCATTAAATTTTTCTATTAACAGCTGCCGATGGTGTTATTAAGCAGCTGTGTCCTAAGGCAAAACCCAAACATTTGAGCCTGCGTGCAGGCTTTAAAAAGGTCGAAAGGCTTACAGACCCCCAGTAATTAACTGAAACCCTGGAAACTTTGGTATAGTTGCTATGATCATGGTATAAGCTATTGCTATAAATCTTAATTATAATCTCAACGATAGTAACAAGAGATTGCCATCAGTGACATGCTTTGAATAGAACACTTTTCACAACCCATAATTAAATGCATTGTCTGATCTGCTTCAATCTGCTTTGTACTTGGTTCAAGTTTGATTACTTATGTTCAGATCATAAATCATGCAGTGGTCAACAACCACAAGCAATCTGTCTAATTTAGATAAAGTTACCACACGATCATTTTGTTTTAACTTCTACACTGTCTTCTATCTGGGTGCAATCAGTTAGCTAAGAGATTTGAAAGCCTGCTTGAAGTTGAATAATGTACCATGAACTTGCTTTCTAATTTATGTGTTGATTAATGGAGTTTTAATACATTTCCATTGAAAGAACCAAGTCTACTTTAGGGCAGTGTTATACAGGGCTCAACACTAATGGTAGCCAACAAGCCACAGACTAGAAGAAATTTGGTTTTGGCTAGCGGTTTTCAATTTCCGCTTGCCAGTTTGGCTAGTAAACAAACTGAAATTGTTTTACCATCTAAGTTGTCACTAGCCACTTAGCTAGTAAGTTGAAAAGTTAGTGTTGAGGCCTGGGTATAGCACACGATCAGAACTATTTATCACCTGGTCATATGTTTTACTGATAAAAGCAGCACCTGCAACTTGTTTTTACCAAGTATAACTAATTGCAAATTACCAACTAATTAGACAATTGATATCATCCATTACACTGCATTTTACCACAAAACCCTACTTCTGAACTTTAACAGCTCAGATCACAAAATGAAATCATCGTCATGGAGCTGTGCTCTGGTGGAAGTTTGTTTACACTGCTTGAAAATCCTGCAAATGCCTATGGCTTTACAGAGGATGAATTTAAACAAGTGTTCAAAGATGTTGGTAAGAGAATTATTGTTGCCCATTCACTGATAAAGAAATATCTCTACTTAGACTATTTTCCTGACCGTGCTTTTCAGAGTCAGGTGTCGAGTACTGGACAATCAGCAGTGAAAAAAACTATAAGGCAGTTGTACTTCAGGGCTCGAAATTAATTTTTGGAGCACTAACCCTTCGGGTTAGTAGACATCTCTTTTACTAACCAAAGTATAAAGTTTGGTATCCAAGCTCGCAAGTTACGATATCTCAAATATTCAACATTTTGATAATAACGACTAGGACAAATTAAAGAGTAGCTGAAGTTGCATAGTGACCTTAAAAACCTTGACAATTATGCACTTATTTATTTTCCCTCTCGTTTACCATGATTAGTCAAGAACAGTACATCTACAGCACATTCTCTAAAAAGAGTTTAAGTTGATTTAACAAATTTAGTATTCTAAGTATTCCTCTGAGAGTCAGGTTTACATGCTCTTTGTCCTGAAGTCCACCAATGTTTAAATATTTTAGGAAAAATTACTAACCATGTCGGGTTAGTTGGACACATTTTTAGTAACCAAACGTTGAAAATTGCTAACCATTGGTTAATGGGTTACCTTTAATTTTGAGCCCTGGTACTTATTAGAAATTGAATTTTTTTTAATCCAAGGTGCTATGGGGCAAACCCCAGTGGCTATTTGAAGTATATTGAGAAATTAGAAAGTCTCCAATTTGAACTCTTAGAACCCAGAACCAAAAACATTAGGAATCGATGGAGCTTATATGGCAGGCGTATTTTGGCCTACAAGCATGAATATTCTTATCAAGTGTTCATGCTGCTTCTGGGAGTGATCTCTGATGAATTTTCATAGAAGAAGGCATGGAAAGTAACGGGGGGTAGTAAAAAGTTGACCAGTGGTAGAGAGAAAGGCAAACAAGGAGGGGAGGGAAAGGTCCATAGCGTCCTCAAAGTAACTTAACGCTGAGTCTCTGGATAAGTTTGACATGAAGCTGTGATCATTTTACAAATAAGTCGCAGGAATGAAGCACTTGCGTGAACAAGGCATGGTTCACAGAGATCTCAAGCCAGGAAACATCATGAGAGTAATTAAGGATGATGGAAGGTAAATCTTATAAAATCAATTCCTTTATTGATTTTCAAAGGTAACAAACTAGCTGGTGCTACAGAGTTGTCCACAGCATCCATTATAGACTTAGCATAGTGAATGTCTCACAATCAAATTTCCCAAAGTGTCATTTGAAAAATTCCTAGGCTGTGGGAAACCACTATTTGCAATAATCTCCAGTGTGTCCATAATCCAATTGTGATAATCCATATAAGTAGGAAGTTTTAAAGAGAGTCCTCAAGCAACATCATAGTTATCATAGTTCTCCAAACTCAAGCCTGACTGAACAATTTTTAAATATATAAGTTGATGAAACGGATTATGCACCATGCCAATTTTAGGCAATGAGAGCTATAGTCTCATACCAAAGCATAAGGGGGACTGTGAACCCCACAAATTTGCATAGGGAGTAAAGGGAGGGGCAGCTCAAACCTCCATTACTCTGTTTCCTTTTGTTTTAATACACTCTCAGATTTGTTGATGATGTCATATGTATGTTAGCTTGCAATGGCTTACAATGGTTGCTGACTTGAAATGATTGCTAAGGCATGAACTTCCATATAGACCAGAGTACAACTTCTTGATGCTTCTGAATAGATTTTCAGCAGGAAATGAACTTAATATTATTAAGTTCCTCTCGTTATCACTTGGGGAAGACTACTTGTACTAAAGATGCAAATGTTGTATTTACTTGAATGGGAAAGTTGTTGATATTTGGCTCTAATTGATTTTTGTGATGTTTTTGATCAGCTTTGTTTACAAGTTAACTGATTTTGGGGCCGCAAGGGAACTGGATGCTCATGAAGGATTTATGTCTGTTTATGGCACAGAGGAATACCTGGTATATCAGTTACTAATCATACAAAAAGTATCATATATTTACCACAAAAACCAACATTCCAAATTCTAGTGCGATCTGGAGCAGAGGAAAAGAAGAGCCAGCTCTGGAATATCCACAGCTAAATCCTACTCCATGTATTTATAATTATTATAGCCTATATGAAAGGCTGACAAAGCTGACGATAAACACAAGACATATGTATCAAGTTTGAAAATAAAATGTTTTCAGTTGTTCAATATTTTAATATCTTATAGTGGTCATATCTACTCTCTGGCTGTAGTGTGAGTAAAATCAAGATCACAGAGTACAATTGCCTCAGCTGCATTGCAGTACCTGTGATCTTTAGATTATTTTTTATGATATTTAATATTTCCATCCTTCCTTACTTCATTGTTTTATGTTAGTACTTAAACTGAAATGCAATTCGTAGCATCCAGATCTGTATGAACGAGGAGTGCTCAGGAAACGTGGTAACAAGACGTTTGGTGCAATGGTAAGTCAGTAGGAAGGTAATTATGCTGTAGATTTTAAATATATGTTATCTTATCTCAAAGATGAAAGCTCAATTAACTTCAAATTTATTATAATTGTTACTGGTATGTGGTAAATGGAGGGAATTAGTCAGCATTAATCAGTTTTACCCCTTTACCCTTAAGAGTGACTGGCATCGTATTTCTCCTGACACCATCAATCACCTCAAATCAAACTTAAACGTCACAGGAATAGAGGAAATTATTATCAAATTAGAATTAAAGAAGCTATTTATTGTTAAAAAAATTCCTTTTGTCATGGCAGCTTAAGAATTGTATACTAAAATTATTAGAGAACTGTAAATGCCTACTAATGTTAGAGCATGCAGGAATTATCACTTCATAAACCTCCCAATGCCTTAATTGGCCTGACATATATTTGAACTCAATAAAGATGTAAAGAAATAGATCTATAAATAGTTGAATAATGGACAACTCTGTGGATTATGTACATGTTTTAGGTTGATTTATGGAGCATTGGTGTAACATTTTACCATATTGCTACGGGACAGTTGCCCTTCCGGCCATATGGTGGACGCCAAAACAAGGATACCATGTTAGTAAACAAGCAATTATTGACTAATTTTTTTTAAGTTGTAGAACACATTTTTCTGGGCTCCATACTGTGATAACACAATGCAGGATGTTGCGATAACACGAGGAAAGCTTTTAAATCACAAGCTGAAGGAAAGTGATATAAGTGAGGCATGAGTGGTCCAGCGGTTAGTGCGCTGGACTCGGATAAGACGTAAAGCCGTAGGTCCCGTCTCCTGCAGGATTAGGGGTAGGAGATGTTAATTCCCACTTATGAGATTACTGTGTGATAGATGTCCTCCCCTGGGGTGGAATGGGTGGGAAGGTGAGATCGTTACACAGACTGAAGTGGCTGCCATAGGTGCCTGATAAAAATGCTGACGTCCGATCTTAACAACAACGTGTAAATTTGTAAAGTGCTATGATCAACACATGTAAATACATGCTATATAAATTGGTAAATTATTATTATTATTATTATTACTATTATTATTATTAATCTTCCCAAGTTCTCTCCCCAAGTAGCTTTATCAGTCAAAGAGCCTGGAAAAAATGTGTTCAGATATTGCTTCTATGAGCTAACTAGTTACATACAGGCTCTTTAACCTGATAAAGCATCCTCTTGGAAACTGAATTGACCAATCAGACCATGTATTCTTTGTTTGACTTCAATTATGTGATATTTGTGCTGTAGATGTAGAGCTAGCCTTGTTGTCAATTTTATCTCCTCAAATTTCTATATCAACCATGTTATTCTACCTTGTTTCAACCCTGTTGCAGTTAGTACTCTTTCCCAAACTTGAATTGAAATGTTTCTACAGCAGCTGCCTGGCTTACTTAAAGCTGTAAATAGATTCTAGTTCAGTGTGGGGAATGAAGAGAAGCTAAATCATGAACTGTAATATTTACTCTAAATCCAATTTTTTGTTTAAGAAACACGTATGCCATCCAAAGACAAGGAAAGCCTGCCACTCCTTTTCAGTACTATGTTCCACAATTTCATTGAACACTCATTTAGAGGAACAAGTAAAATTTGTTGTTGTTGTTGTTGTTTTCCCAATATTGCCTTTGCTAGGCATTTGATTACATCAAAGAAGCGCTCCGGCATGATTTCTGGAGTTCAAAAGAGTGAGGGGGAAGACATAGAGTGGAGTGACAAACTTCCTGATCATACTCGCCTGTCTCAGTAAGTGTGCATGAAAGATAAATCCTATCAGACAAACTTCCTGATCATACATGACTGTCTCAGTAAGTGTGAATGAAAGATAAATCCTATCAGACAAACTTCCTGATCATACATGACTGTCTCAGTAAGTGTGAATGAAAGATAAATCCTATCAGACAAACTTCCTGATCATACACAACTGTCTCAGTAAGTGTGAATGAAAGATAAATCCTATCAGAGGATCTCCATGGAGGGGGTCACATTAACATTTAAAAATAAGTCCTTTTGATGGTTGACAGTTAAATTAAGGTTATTTGACAGTTGACGGTTAACTTTTAGAATGTCATTAATTTTATAAAACGAACTAAAGGCATGAACTAGGCTGTAATTTTTCATACTGACATGATTGTAAAGAACTGTTAATTTAGAGCACCTTTTATAAATAAATGACTAAAGTTTTATGACACTGGAAGTGTTTCCACACCAGAAGTCAGGTCTATCACTAACCAGTTTTACTCACAACCAGAAGTTAAAGGACTTACACAAATGTATCTCTGTAATACATCAAAACTTTTATTTATAAACAACAGAACTTGACCCCAATTAAGGCAATCCTTTAGTTTATAATTATGGATATTTAACATTGAGGGCTAACATTGGTGTACTTATTTGACAGTTGACAGTAAAAATAATACATTTTTGATGGTTGACAGTTAATAGTTTGGCCATTTGACAGTTGATGATTAACCTCATTGAGACCCTCCTATCACCTTTATTGTCTCTTTGTATGTTGTAAAGGCAGTGCTTGACACTAACTTTTCATCTTACTCGCCAAGTGGCTGGTGACATCTTAGATGTTACGACAATTTCAGTTTGTTTGCTAGCCTAACTGGCGAGTAGAAATCGAAAACCACGAGCCAAAACTGAATTTCTTCTCGTGTGTGGCTAGTTGGCCACCATTAGTGTCGAGCCCCGGAAGGGGATTTCATATAATCTAAAAAAGGCAGTCATATTTTTCAAATGAGATGTTCACTCTTGAGAGGTTTTTTTTAAATTATGTTTGGACGAAATGGGAGGATACAATTAGTTAAAAGAGATAGATTAAAGTAAGCAACAAGAAAATTCTAAGTTAAATTAATCTTGTTAATAGATGAAGTTTCAGCTTCCCTAGGATTGAATAACAGTAGCAGAAAACTGGTTCAGTCTGTTTATTGTACTCTTTATATCACATTCCTTTTATTCTGTAACCATTGTCTTTCTTGCACTCAATTTAATTAGGCTAGGACTTACATATCGTGTAGTTAGGACATTTCTTGATCAAGAATTTATTATTGGTACACTGACTTGTCAGTGATACCTTCAGCAAAAAGGCTTCTTGATTCTTTCAAAAAGGCAAATTTTCACCTCTTAATCTTAGTACTTTAAATATAGGACTATCATTTCTCTTATATTCTTATAAAGTATTTGCCTTTTCTTTATTTTAGGGGTTTGAAAGAACTCTTGACACCAGTACTGGCTGGTGTTTTGGAGGCTGACCCTGTAAATGCAATGTCATTTGAAGAGTTTTTTTTCAGGATTCAGGATATTTTGTCACGAAAGGTACATATTCTTTTACAATATGCCCTGAAGAAATTTTGATCTACTTTGTGATGAAATCTTAAATTGTTATAATAGTCCAAAACATCCTCTTGAAATCTCTTTTTCATTTTTAGAAATGGAATATTAGGGGCTTTTACATGTACACATATGCCTTATGTCAGTCTAACATCTCAACAACAACAACAACAACCTATATTTATTCTAATTTCTAATGACTATTTTAACAAATTGGACATGCCCACAGGTAGCTAGCTAATCTAGGTGGGTCATGTCTTAACTAAGAAAAAATGTTGGTATACGAGTTTACAGAAATCAGGAAATTAATTAGAGAGAGTAAGTATACAGGTTTACAGAAATCAGGAAGTTAAATAAAAAGAGTAGGTATAAAAACAAAGATACTACGAAAATAGTACAATTAAGGCTATCCTTGTTGTTCTAGAAATACATTAAAAACCTTAAGAAAATTTGACCTTTTGAATGATTTTTCGTATGTCGATATAGGAGTCTTCCGAAGACAGAATATTGAAAAGAACTCTTTTAATTCACTCTTAAAGTCATATTTTGAGAGATTCTCACCCTAACTTACATTAAAAAAACCTTCTCTTGAAAGGTGATAAATGCCTACTTTAGGGCTTGACATTAACAGTAGCCAACTAGCCACAGACCAGGAGAAATTCAGTTTTGGCTGGTGGTTTTTCGATTTCCACCAGTCAGTTTGGCTAGTAAACAAACTGAAATTATCTTAACCAGTAAGTTGAAAAGTTAGTGTGAAGCCCTGTTATTGTTAAGAATAAAGTTTTTCTTCTGAAGCCAAGTAATATGCTTGTCTTATTGTCCTGACATCTTGCCTAATTTTATCGCCATGACTGTAATTTATAGCTTAGAATTTATGTGATAGTAATGACAACCTTAATTTCTAGGTCATTGACGTTTACTCAGTTCATTCAGCTTCTTTCCACAAGATCTACATGAAGCAGAGTGATACGTGAGTTTCAGTTATAACTTCAAGCCAGTGATTGTGGTCAGCAACTTTAAGGAATTGTAGAGAGAAACCTCTCAAAATGAGTTTTTTCCAGAACCATGGAAGGAATTGCCTGTGAATATTAAATCTGCTAGCCCCATGGACACGTAAAATGCAAACTCAAAACATTCCTTTATAGTTAAGCTCATACGGTACCTCATCATTGCAGTTAAATTTTTAATTGGTTTATGTAATTTGTTATTAATTTTACTTTTAATTAGTAGTTATTTATTTGTTTATTTTATCTCTAATTTTAATAATTTTAAGGTGCATCATTGTGATGAGTGCATCTAATTTGAATCCTAAAGAAAAGTACTGTAGGAATGAATTATTTATTATTATCATATCATTGTTTGTATGAATGAATTATTTATTATTATAATCATTATTATTATTATTAGTTTTGATTGCAAAGAAAACCAAACTGACAAAAGAGCAACTTGGTAGCAATCATCACCATCTGGTTTTAACAAAAATTGACCTTTTAACCTCATCCAATAATTAAAAATACAAGTCATTTTATTACCTGCGACCTTCTGATTAAAATGACAATTACCTGTTATAAAACCTCACAGGTTTGCAAAGTTCCAGGAACTCATTGCAGTACAAACAGGAGTTAGTGCTGCGCAGCAGAAGTTGTTTTTTAATTATGAGGAATTCAAGCCAGATCCTATGGCTCATACGTCAACCTATCCTAACACATCTGTGAGTATGAAAACTAGTGATGGAGTTCCTTTACATATTATTGTTTAGAAGACAGTAACAGAACTTGCATGACACGCAATTAGCACGACTGTGCACTTGGAAACTTTGTAAGCTTTGAAACTTCAAAAGCAACTGTTACACAGACTTTTCAGGTGTGAGTTTTAGTTTGAGTTTTCAAGTCAAAATTCTCAAGGTTTTTGGTATTTTTTCTGAGTTTACCATATTACTGTTTTACCATATTACTGTTTCACCATTTTTCACTCAAATTCCATTTCCACTTCCTAAACAGTTATCCTCTATTACTGAATACCTGTGTGACTATCCATTAATTAATTTATTGGTATCTGGTCCAAAATGATTGACATTTTTTTTTTTTTTTTTCTTTTTCAGGATGACAACCACATGGTGATGACTGGGGGAGAATACATGTCTCCTGAACGATTATTTCTCTACAAAATCCGTAAGAATTGTTCTTTCATCTTGTACAAGTGGGACTGAATTAAATGTTGCTTGTAAATTAATGGATCAAATTCCTCATGTATGGTTTGAAGAATGTGATGGAAACATTGCTTTGTCATCTTTTTAAAAACTTTGTTACGCTCTAAATGCTTAGACCTCTTTGAGCAAGGACAACCAGATATCTCTATCCTGGTAGGTTTTAAATGTTTCCAGTATGTGAGGCTTGATTTTCTTTTCAGCTCTTGTTATTCACTCCACTTTGTCTTGCATACTTAAAGCGATCCATTATAGTCTAAGATATCGGGGTTCAACACTATTGGTAGCCAACTAGCCACAGACCAGTAGAAATTCAGTTTTGGCTAGTGGTTGTTGATTTCCACCAGCCAGTTTTACTAGTAAACAAACTGAAATTGTTGTAACATCCAAGTTGTCAGGAGTCACTTAATGGCTAGTAAGTTGAAGAGTTAGTGTCAAGCCCTGGATATGGCTTTTTTTAACTTAGTATAATTTCAGAGCTGAACAAAGAGTTTCCAGCAATCTGATTGGTCGAGCGGTTCCTTATATGACGCTATATAAACTGCTCCGCGTGGTTTATATAAAATGTTAAAGGAAAATGTTAATAAATGTTACTAAAATGTTATGATTTTAGAAATTTCTCTGTTGTTCAGCTCTGAAATTATACTAAAACAATTATTCGCCTCAGGTTCGGTGAAAATTGTCGAATAATCCCCACGACTCCGTCCCGGGGATTATTCAACGATATTCACCTCGCCTTCGGCGAATAATTGTTAAATATTTGAGGAAATTATGAAGGTTATTATTAAATGGAAAATAAAAAAAAGACCTTTTTTCAAATACAATAAGCCTTTCTCATTCATATGCCACTGCCTTATTTGAAGCACTCAATAACTGATGCAACAACTTTCGGTTGATTAGAGTGTCAGCTGGTGTCATGTATTACATGACGTAGTGAGCGTAAATAAAGTTTCGTGTAGGTGTACATCAAAGGGAGAATAAAGGAGCACATGGTTGACTTGTGTGTTAACTTCGTTCAAGCGGACTTCAAGACGAGTAACCCTCCAATTTGTACATTAGGAGGATACAACATTGGCGACGAGGATATTTTTGTGAGACACACAATGTCTTCGAGCGAAAATGGCGCTTCCAATGCGATTCCTAAGTTCGATTGTCACTCGGAACCTGCCACGTTGGGACCACGCTGGACGCGATGGTTAGCATCTTTTGAATTGTTTGCGGATGGCAAGGGCCTAATC